TTAGGCAGTATAGATCAACTGCTTATCATCCCGAGTCCCAGGGGGCGCTAGAACGTTTTCACCAGACCTTAAAAACGATGCTGAAGACCTATTGTTACCAGTATGAAAAAGACTGGGATGAAGGGGTTCATCTTGTGCTATTTGCTGCACGAGAGGCAGTCCAGGAGTCTCTTGGGTTTAGTCCTTTTGAATTGGTGTTCGGTCATACAGTTAGAGGTCCTTTGAAATTGTTGAAGGAAAAGTGGCTGACTGAGACTAGTGATCTTAATCTTTTAGATTATGTGTCTGATTTCAAAGAAAAACTTTACAATGCTTGTAAGTTAGCACAAGAAAATTTGAAGAGTTCTCAGATGAAAATGAAAATGTGGTATGACAAAGATGCCAGAAATAGGGTGTTTAAGCCAGGTGATAAGGTTCTTGTATTTTTACCTATTCCTGGTCATCCTTTACAGGCCAGATTTTATGGCCCTTATGAAATTGAAAGCAAGATCAGTGATGTAAACTATGTAGTTAAGACACCAGGTCGACGTAAAGAGAAACGGGTTTGTCACATTAACATGTTAAAAGAGTATTTTGAAAGGTGTGACCGAAATTCTGTAAAACCAGTTTCCACTTTAGCCAATGCTAAGACTGTTCAAAATTGTATTGAGAGTGATACAAGTGTAGAGATGAATGAGAAAGATTGTAATCAGAGTGTCCGCTTGAAAAACTCAGAAATTTTGGCAAATTTTGATGCCAAACTAGGACATTTGAACATTCACCAAAAAGAACAAGTTAAAAACTTGATGAATGAGTATCGTCAAATCTTCTCGGATGTTCCAAAGAAAACTAATGCAGCTTGTCATGATGTCATAGTTGGCGACGCTCTACCTATCAAACAACATCCGTACCGTCTCAATCCAATAAAATTGCAGTACCTAAGAAGGGAAGTGCAGTACATGTTGGACAATGACATTGTTGAACCTAGTAAAAGTAATTGGAGCTCACCGTGTATTCTTGTACCAAAACAGGACGGTTCCTACCGATTATGTACAGACTTTAGAAAGGTGAATTCTGTTACCAAAACTGATTCATATCCAATACCTAGAATCGATGACTGTATTGACAAAATTGGAAACGCGAAATTTGTCAGTAAATTTGACCTGTTGAAAGGCTACTGGCAAGTACCGTTAACAGAAAGAGCAAAAGAAATATCTGCTTTTGCAACACCAGATGGACTTTACCAGTATAAAGTAATGCCTTTTGGCATGAAAAACGCACCGGCTACATTCCAAAGGATGATTCACTCCCTTCTTCAAGACCTTGAGGGATGCGAGGCCTACATTGATGATGTCATCATATACAGCGACACATGGGACGAACATCTCCGAATCATGCGTGCTTTATTTGACATTTTAGCTAAAGCAAACTTAACTGTGAACCTTGAGAAGAGCGAATTTTGTCATGCTTATGTAGAGTATTTAGGTCATAAAGTAGGTCAAGGTTATGTTACACCCATTATGGCTAAAGTGGAAGCTATTGCAAAGTTCCCGATTCCTACAAACAAGAAAGAATTAATGAGGTTTTTGGGCATGGCTGGGTTTTACAGAAAATTTTGTCCAAATTTTTCCTCAGTTGTAAGTCCACTTACAAATCTTTTACAAAAGAGGGTTAATTTTGAATGGACAAAGGACTGTGAAAAATCCTTTCATAAAATCAAATCGGTCCTTATGAGCAATCCAGTTCTGTCAACTCCAGATTTTTCTAAGCAATTTAAGCTTACTGTTGACGCTAGTGATGTTGGAATCGGGGCAGCTTTGTTTCAAGAACATAGTGATAAGGTAGATAGAGTTGTTTCTTATTTTTCAAAGAAACTTACAAATGTCAACAAAAGTATTCCACCATTGAAAAGGAATGCCTTGCTTTGTTGTTAGCCTTACAGCATTTTGATGTTTATCTGAATGTTACATTGCATCCAATTCTTGTATATACAGATCACAACCCCCTGACATTTTTGCATAAATTGTCAAACAAGAATCAAAGACTGACTAGATGGAGTTTGTTGTTACAAGAATACAACATAACAATTAAGCATATCAAAGGCAAAGACAATGTTATTGCAGATGCCTTGTCCAGAGTGTCATGAAGAAATTGGATTTTGTATTGATGTACATATGTTTTGACAGGATAAGTTTTCATTGACATTCAAACTTTTTAAGGGGGGAGGTGTTGTGAGGTGTGTTGTATTTGTATTGTTTCATTATGTATATAATTAGTAACATTAAGTTTCTTGAACATTCCAGAGTGGTCAACATGTTCGGTAATTTTCTAGAACATTCTTGAACTTTGTATATCCAGAACTTTCCAGTAATATCATGTACTTACAACTTCTAGAATATTCTAGATTTATATTACTGTATAAATACCCTGACAATTTGATGCATAGATACGATTGTCATACAAGCATCATTGAGGTACGTATTACTGGGATATAATTTCATGGGACATTGTGTGCAGCAACGGACACTCTGAAGTATGTATTTTTAGATTTTTGCTAAGTTTGTACTTAATGATTTGTATATTACTGTAAATAAATTATTGTTAAGTTTAAACTGTGTGATTGATCTTTGCTGGCATTTAGGGTTATTCTGACCCATAACACTGTAAAGATAATATGATGAAAAAATAAGATTTTACTTGATTTAAGATTTTTTTTAATCAGGATACAACTATATCTTTACATTTTTCGGAATATGAAATTTAAAATTTAAAAGACTTCGTTTTTCAAAAAATTCCACTTAAATTAAATGTCTCAGTGACCTTGAAATAGATCACGACACACCTTCTTTCTTAAATGTATATACATTTGCCAAGTTCGAGAGCTCTATAGGTCTAAAAGTAATCTAGTTATGAGCCGGACAGGATTTTTCCTTATTTGGCCATAGCTTCTTAAATAAAGGTCAGAGTGACCTACTTTTTGTGCGCGACACACCGTCTACCCAAGATGTATCAGTTGACAAAGTTTGATAATCTTAGGTCTAATAGTATTGAGGTTATGAGCCGGACACGAATGGACAGCTAGACACACGGACAGACGGACGAACATGAAGCCTATAACATAATACGTCCCGTCTTAAGACATGTGTATAATAATTATGAGATCCTTATACATGTAGTTGTTATCAAATTCCATTTCTAGTTCAAAAGCATATATTTAATCGTTAATATATTAGTATGTACCAGTATGTACACATTTCATTGTACTGGTAGGTGTCCTATTTAAAAAATTTAAAGCGCGACTTTACAATGTTTGTGGTTATCTAACATGCACACTAAAACAATGTCACTGGTACGTGACCTTCTGACAAACATGGCCGAAAGTAACTCAAAAGAATATTCATTGCCATGGGATTCTCCAGTAGTGCACATAATTTAAAAAGTGTGAAATCCATGACTTACCTATTTATATATTGTGTGAAGATTGTATTGAATTTATTTGTGGCAAATGTGCCAAAACAAATCATAGCAATCATGATTGGAAAACTATATACCCAGTCGGCAGCTTAATTAAACGAAAGGAGGAGGGTTTGACTTTCATTTCTGACAATGAATGTGTCAAAACAGATCACAGAAAATAAAGAACTGCGCGACTCCGAGATTAAAAAGTTACAGAAGCATTATACACTGTAATAATATTCTGACAAATTGAAAGAAATCAAAAAACGTCATAAAAAATTATTAAGAGACAATCTGAAGAAAACGAATGATCAACTCAGCCATATGAGATCTGGGTAAGACAAGAATAAGAGAACAAGTTGCTGTCCTTTAAAAAAGGACTGCAATACGTGGACCATATGCGTGTTTTTTTCTAACTGAAATTCAATTAAAAAAACTTCTAGGTGTAGGGAATATTCATGTAAGGTTTGTTCACTTATTCTAAAATTATCTGCCACTTATAACTGATTGTAGTCTCAAAGCACAATTGTGAAATTTTATCTCCGATTAGCGACCTTTAGTTTTGTCAGTTTTAACATGTTTTAGAACATAACCCTCTTTTTCCTCCAATCAGCAGCTGCTAAATTTTCTATTAAGCTGATCACTTAATTGTCAAGATTTTATGTCTATGCAGTAACTCCGCGCCAATGAAAAAGCGCAATTAGGTTCTAAGTAAGTTAGATCATATTAAGTAAAATTTTAGTGGTTCAGAAGTGGCTCGGTCGCTTCGCTCCCTCCGCCCCTTCTTAACCATTAAAATTTTACTTAATATGATCTAACTATTACCTAAAAAATCGGTTTATTTTGACACGTGTAACTCATATTGGCTGGGACTTGACACCTGTTCTGGATTTATACGGAAGAAATTTATCATGGGAAAAATGGAGATGTGATGATTCACGAGTAGCATAGTTCTGTAGTACGCAGATTTGTTTTTGTTTGTCGGAGTCCCCCCCCCCCCCCCAACACACACACACACATTAAAAGCCGTTGCTACAGACCTTTATCAAACAATATTTAGATTGCTGAAATATTAAATTATTTTGCGAGCTTTGATGCACAAAACTTATGCCGGTGAAAACTTGCTCTATCTTTTAAAAGCTACATGTATCTCTGTTCGTTGAGTGACGTTTCCCATTCAAGTTATCTATATACTGTAACTTCTTAAAATGTTTGTACCATAGAATCAATGTTTAGTATAAAAGTATATGTAAAAGAGAGGAAATCGGATCTGCCAATGAATATGTAAATGCGATATGCAGATTAAAAAGCGCGATTTGCCAATGAATGGCATATTTTAATTCGAATAGGGCGAATTATTCTACGGGCAAGTTACCTAAGGTGCGAACTCTCTAGCATTCGCGCGCATGCGTAGCCTGTCGTTTGCCCAGGGCATCCGGTTTAACTTCGCTTATATATTTACTGCGTGGACCGCAGGGTCCACGCAATAATTCTTGACACATTGGAATTGAAGGAGGAGAACAAAAGTTAGATGTCAGATTACATGCAGCTTCATTGAAAACCACATGGAACTGACAATGATGCTGTCTAAAGTGGAGGTTAATATAAACTGTGAACATTCAGTCAGGTTCAGTAGAGGGGAAATTAACAATGACATCCTCCAGTCTACAATTGGAAAAACTTTGGATTTATGTGACATCAGTGTGACTCAATTATACTCATTTCAATATGGAAAAGATTTTATAAATTTGTTGAAAGGATTCATTGAGGATCAATGTTTCATAAGAGAAAATGAATCAGAATACACAGATGAAATCAACAAGCAAGGAACAAAAGAAAAAGATATTTAGTACGTACTCTCCTGAAAGATTAACAGTGCATGACTGATAACGATGACAGTTATTTCACGAATAATAGTGACAAGTCCATCCGCTGTCTGTCACCATCAGCTAGGATCTGTCACTTCGGTCATTAGTACAGATCCACTGGCACCGGGAGGAATTTGTAAGTCAGTGGACTGAGGACTACTGGTCACTCTGAGAGACAATGAATCTCTTTCAATTTAGACTCACACAGCAGACGTCTGTTGAGACACATCACAGTGACAGGTGATATTATCCATGAGTATGAGTACCAGGAGGACGGTCACTCCAGACTGTTTACATTGCCAGGCACAGTCACACAGAACAGTAACCGTGATATCTGTGTTGTGAACCGTACAAGTTTCACTACAGGTCAAATAGTCATTCTGTCGCTATCTGAAATCAGTCTATCATGGACAAAATCTGACAGAGGACTTTATAAAGCAACTGATGTAGTATGTGACTCCCTCTGTAACATCCTTGTTACTGACAAAAACAACAAACAGATCCATCTGCTGAGTTCTGACAGGGAGTTCCTGAAGCTCTTACTGACAGACAATGAAGTGAACCGTCCAGTCAGATTTGTTTTGTTTTAGGGACTTTGATATTGAATACTTTTCGTTATCTCCATATCCTTCATGCAGCTAACTTTGATACTACAAACATAAAAAATACCATGATATGATATGAGATATGAGATGTAAGTCACGACTCCTTTTCCTTAATAAGTACCTTTAGCTGAATGAAACATATGGAGATAACAAACAGTATTCAAAAACAAAATCCCATAAAACAATATAAGGGGCAGAGCAAACACGGACCTCTAAATCATCAGAGGTGGAATCATATGCCATGGAGGAGTGAATATGTCACTTTCTTAGATTTTCCTAGGCACTTTTCATGTCTGGTATACACATCAGTTTCCATTTATTTTTTCTGGTTTTCATAAGAATAATAATAACTAAGACATTTCTCCTATCTTTATTAATATATTTATTTACACATCATTTCTATAATCCCATATCAAGTCCTGCTTCCAGGTTGTCCCAACAAACACCTGAAAAAGAAGAAAATGCTTTGTAAAATTGTTTTGTTATTTTTCAGAGCAAAAACGACAAAGGAATTAAGTCATCAGATTAAATTATAAAATGTAATTGACATCAATAATCGAAATCATTGCAATGGTGTTTAGCTAAGGACATAATATTTCGAGACTAGTGGAAAAGTATGATTGCAAAAGCATGAAATGGTTAATGAAATGTGAAAGATTTTCAATTTTCTAAAACCCTCAGCCCTACCAGGCTAACTAAACTTCCTGGTTTTACACTTACTCCATATCTGACTAACTGCTTCATCTATAGTTCATCAATGTCCACTATTTTCTATAAATTATAACAAGACTATACACACCATTCATTCCTGGCCTTTACAGCCTCTAGTCTCACTCTGAGTTATAACAAGACTACACACCATTCACTCCTAGCCTTTACAGTCTCTAGTCTCACTCTGAGTTATAACAAGACTATACACACCATTCATTCCTGGCTTTTACAGCTTCTAATCTCACAAGTCTCTTCTTGTCGTCCAGGACTCCCTCCAGGATCTTTATCACGCTGGGTCTGTAGGGCAAGATCACAGGGGAGGGAAGACACACCAACTCATGTAAACACCTCAAAGACGCACCTCTTACTTTCTGTAATGTTAAAAATATATATATATATCTGTTGATTTTGAATTTATATTATTTTTAAAAGTAAACTAAAAACCTGGAAAATTATAGGACGATGGACCACAACACTAACCTGAATAACTTTGGCCTTGTTAATGCACTATATTGTCTCTATTATCAAACTCAATGGGGTCCCATCCTAACCTGAACTAAACATGGCTTTGTTCCATGGAAAGATTTTTTTTAAACGGTGTTTTGGTATCCCATCGTTACAAAAATCTACCTGAGAGTCAAGATTAAAACAAGCTTGCATTTTTTACAGCTTTGTTAATATGGTTTTATAAGTTGTCAGTTTTCTTCACCTACCATTGATGGTTTGTATGATGTCAATTTAAGAAGCTGGGGAATTACTGTATCCACATGTTTGACAATGATGTTTGGGGCATCAGTGATCATTGTACACAGTGTTTCCATAGTGGACTGTTGTAGCTGGACATTCTCACACAGCAGGGACTGGACTAACATAGGGAATAACTAGACAATGAAAATGTGACTAATTAAATACTGGATCAACATAGAGAATAACTAGACAATGTAAATGTGACTAATTAGACACAAGTTATAAAGGACTGACCAACATAGGGAATAACTAGACAATGAAAATGTGACTAGTTAAGTACTGTAGGAATATAGGGAATAACTAGACAATGAAAATGACTAATCAAGCACTGGGCCAACATAGGGAATAACTAGACAATGAAAATGTGACTAATCAAGTACTGGGCCAACATAGGGAATAACTAAACAATGAAAAATCCGACTAATTAGGCACAAGTTATAAAGACCTGAACAATAGGGGGAAGAAAAAGACAATGAAAATGAGTTTATTCAAGACCTGTGTCAACATCAGGAATAATTAGACAATGAAAATATGACTATTCAAGTACTGGGCAAAAATAGGGAATAACTCGACAATGAAAACGTGACTAATCAATACCCTAGACCAAATTAGGGGATAACTAGACAATGAAAAATCTGACTAATTAGGCACAAGTTATAAAGGACTGACTAAAATAGGGAATGACTAGACAATAAAAATTTGATAAATCTGAGACAGTATACATGTAGTTGATTAAAATGCAGTTCCCCTTTGAGTACCTCCAACATAGTCTATTATTTGAATTTGCAAGCATAACGCTTTCTTCATTTTTTTGTGGTCTACTACCTTGTATGTTGTATAAATAGCCTTACCTGAGGTAGTTCTCTGACAAGAACAGACTTTGGAAGAGATTTCAAACAGTGAGAGAGAGCTATCAGGTAATTCTTCTTTGTCTCTAGAAAAAGGTAATAACTTAACGTTTAAGCTATCATTGTTAAATATAAGCAAAACATGTTCATAGAATGCAAGTTAAGAAAACCTCTTTTGTTTGCAAAATCTTACTCAATAGCTGAAAAATACAATCCTAGATAAATATTATTAGTTACCAGATGAAGCATTCTGAAAGCCATCAGTCAGGTGGGTGGAGTTTTCGGTAAAGAATCGCTGTTTGTACAGGAAGCGGATGTTAGCATGCATGGCGGGATTGAGGACGTCTTCATACTCAGTATGAATGATTCCAAATCCCTCGGCGGCCTGATCACCTAGTGTCTCACTGCCTAGCAACCTCAGAAGCTAGTGTAGTAAAGAAAGAGTCAAGAATTAAAAAATATTAAAGCTTTACCAGAATAAATCTACCAACAGATTTATTTTTTGTTATCTTTAATTTGTTTTTTTAGGTTTCTAACAACTTACAATTTTTACAAACTTGTTGGCTTCTTCGTGTCCCCTCATGACAAGAGCCTTAGTGACCCAGATACACTGCTGTAGACAGGAAGATTTTCTGCTGTCAGAGTTCAAGGTCAAAGTTTGATCATAAAATTCACATCTACTTTGTAAGAATGTTGTCAGATCCTTATCTGTTTTAAAGAGAAAAGAATTTGATTCCATTTATAATTAGGATTAAACATTTGAAAAATAGGAGCAAGATAATTATTATATTATTATAGGCAGAATTTTTTTTAAAAATTCTTACAAGAAATTATCTTTTTGAAGAAGAAACCCTCAAAAACACATTTACCATCTGATGCTTTGTTTAAAATTCCAGACAAACATTTAGCTGCCTCGGATTTTGTGTAGTCATGGTTACTTTTTAGTGACAAGTCACAGAGTCTGTCCCTATACTTATTTACATCAGGCAGAGTATACTGAAAGAAATTACGGTCACATTATATCAATACCATATTGTATTATAAATTATAGGAACATTATTGCAATCCTGTATTGACCACTCAGTCTTTTATTTTACATTTCATGAATTTAATACATATCTTCCGATGTATAAACACATATGCATGAATAGGCATAAAGATTTCAGCATTATTGTCACAGATATCTACATTTACCATAACCTACAATTCAACATATAAAAAAATTATATTGCATGCTATTTTATTTTGTTGTAAATTTATAGAGAGTAGGGCCTTCTTTAATTCATTGTAAACTTACTTGTCTAGGACATGAACATATTACAGGAGTCAACAGGGTGACAAGTGATGTCTGCTCTGAAGGAGAAGTGGACTGCAACAAAAACAGCGTTACAGATTAGAATGGTCCACTCTTAAAAACAAGAGGCCCATGGGCCTTATAGGTCACCTGAGTATTATGCGACAACTTTCCAACAATTGAATGTGATTCATGTTTTAAACTAGAGGCCATGTAATTCACAATTTTGAAAGAGGCACCATTGCTTATCATAATTATGCAATCAGCATGCTTATTTTGGTTACTTAATACCTAGAGGTAGATCAGAGTAACACAGAGAAAATGCACTTCCACTTTTAGTGAATTTCAGGGCCCCTGGGTCAGAGCTACTTGTGTAAGGTTGGTCAAAAGTTTAGCTCCCCATCCCACAGGAACCATTGACCCTGGGGCCATATCTTTCAAAATTTTAGAAAATTTTTTAAATTTAATTTCACAATGCTGTTGATTAATACCAAAGTGCAGATTTCAAAGCATTAAATTATTTCAGACTATGTACCCCCCCCCCCCCTCAAAGTACCTCTGTCCCAGGGGCCAGGAAATTAACCATTTTTGGAAGAAGCAGGTTTTTTGTTATAAATATATACTAAGATCATTTGGCATTATACCCAACAACAAAGGAAAAGATTTTCAAAGGATTCATGCATTTTCACTATATAAACATTAGAGCCTCGCCCTAACACAAGAAGCCCTAACCCAGGGACCCTGAAATTCAAAAATCTCAAAGAGGCATCCTTCCTCCTCATAACTATGTGCATAGTTCATTGGTTAAATACTCAGGTGTAGAAAAGAAGAGTTTTAAAGAATTTATACATTTTCACTGTATAATCAATAAAGCCCTGCCCTAACACCAGAACCCCCAACCCAGGGGCCATGAAATTCACAATTTTGGAAGAGGTAGCCTTATTCAACATAACTATGTACTTGGTTAGTTTATTTAATACTCAGGAGCAAAGAAGAAGATTTTCAAAGAAATAATTCATTTTTTACTAAATAATCTATATAGCCCCACCCTAACACTAGAACCCCTGTCCCTGGGGTCATGAAATTCACAATTTTGGAAGAGGCAGTCTTATTCAACATAGCTATGCACTTGGTTAGTTTATTTAATGCCCATGAGCAGAGAAAAAGAATTTCAAAGAATTTTTACATTTCACTATATAATCTATATAGCCCCACCCTACCACTAGAACCCCTGATCCTGGGGGGATTAAATTCACAATTTGAGAAGAGACAGTCTTATTCAACATAACTATGCACTTGGTTAGTTTATTTAATGCCCACAAACAGAGAAGAAGAATTTCAAAGAATTTATGCATTTTCACTATATAATCTATATAGCCCCGCCC